GCATGAGCCACCGCACCCGGACTCTCTTGCACTTTAAATGATTCTTTTACCTGATGTGCTGATCATTAGGAAGCCATCAGCTCATCGAGTTATGCAGATATTCCCAAAGTGGACATACTAATATTAATACCTCCACTGACATGAGAAAGATCTTTATTTATTGGGAAGCTGTCAAACTCATAGTGGTAGACACAACGTTTCTAAAATTCTGATTTTTGCTTGAAAGCTTAAATTTTGTCATTGGGAACAGATACCGTCCATTCTTTTTCTTGAAGTGACGGTCTCACTTTGTTCACCATCGAGGAACCGTGCATCAAATACCCAAGCCCGAATCCTCAGTTTGTCAGGTGTTCTTTGCAGTGAAATGGTGTTGCATCAAAAAAAGTGGCTTGTTCAGCTGGAGACTCGAGTAGGCACACGGGTGCTTCTCCTCGAGACCAACATTCTGCTTTGACACGCAGCTGTGGCACTTTGTGCGTGGTTCCCATCTAGTCACACGGAATATTTAAAAGATGTACTCTCAAGTGTTGCAATCTAACAAATTAATAATTTTTACTACTTCATCAGTTCTCAAGGGATGACAAGAATGAACAAATTAGCCAATTCTTTCATTCTTCCAGTTTGCTTTCTCTTTTCTGTTTTTCCTGCAAGTGCGTGGTGGGAAGAACACGATGGCCGCTGCCTTCGTTTGTGCCCAGGCATCAGCAGCCTCACCCGCTGTTGTTCTGCACCATCAGTGCACGTGCCACACAGTAAAACAGGAAAATGGCGCCTTAGTGTTAGTATGCAGGAGTTTGGCCTTGTGGACGCTGATAGGGTTATGTGATTTCAAATCACACTTTGAAACCCGCTGGTACAGAGAAACTTTCCGTGTGTACGTGGATGTTTATGATCATAGCATTTTTTTTGGTGATAATGAAAAATTAGAACCAAGCTAAATGACCATCACTAGGAGCGTGGATAAATATATTATTGCCTGTTTGTCTAGTGAAACGCCATACAGCAGTGAAAATGAATGAACTGGGGCTATAGCTGTAGCTATCGACATACACACCCACGAGAACTAAAGCATAGTGTTAAGTAAAAAGCAAGCTATGGAATGATGCTTCCTGCGAACCATTATTTTACAAAGCTAAAACCAAAACCATAAAGAATTATATATTGTTATGAATATGTATATATCATACATATTTATATA